TCCTCCTCCTCCTCCTCCTCCTCCCCCCTCCTTCCCCTCCTCCTCCTCCTCCTCCCCCCTCCCCCCCCGGGGCCCAGCGCGCGACGCTCGTCGGAGGCCTGGCTCTTGGCAGCGCCTCGCCCGCCCCCGCGCGCGAGCGGCCGGGCCGCGCGGGGGTTGCGAGGGGCCGAGCCGCGCAGCACATGGCGAGCGCCCGGCGCGCCTCGTTCAGCACCACGGTGGAGCTCATCTGCTTCGACGCGGCGGGCGGGGGCAACGTCCCCAGACCTCCTCGCGAAGTGGAAAAATTTCGCGACGGGGGAGGTTTCTCACGATTTTCGGCTCCCGGGGTCCCTCAATCGGGCCTCAGGACCGTCAGAAAACGACTCGGGAGGAAGAACCGATCCCGGGGAAGGGGTCCAGCCTTTTGGGGGTCGACGTTGCGAACAAAAATCACGATGTCGGGGGTCTGGGTCAGGGGGGGGGGCTTCCCCAAAGCCCCCCTCATTCGCGTTTTTTTTTTTTGGGGGGGGGGGGAAAAGATATGCGGCGGAAGGTTTTTATCGCCGTTCTCGGCCTCGGGGGGCCCCCTTTCCCAGGCCTCGAGGGCCCTCGAGGAGCGCCTCTGGCCGAGAAGCCTGTCCCGGGGGTGGGGTCCAGCCCTCTTGGGGCCGACGTTTTGAACAAGAGTCACGACGTCGGAGGTCTGGGTTAGGCATGGCTCGTTTCGACTCCTCCGACTCGATTCGATTCGGCTTCGATCGATTCCAATCCGATTCGGTTTCGATCGATTCCGATGCAGAATCCGATTCCTTCCTATTTCTCCATGGAGGCCCGACAAGCCTGCCGATCCCCGCCGACTCGACTTCTCCCGACTCGGCTCCTGGTTTCCGCCGATTCGGTTCACTTCGATCGCCGATCCCACTCCTCGATTCGATCTCGGGCTCTCCTGGCCGAGGGGCGGTTCGAGGTCCTCGAGCGTTGTCGTAGGCTTACGTCGGGCATGCCCCTCTACAGGGGGAATATTCAAAAACAGTCAAAAATAGTATGAGGACGATGTTTTGACTATGTTTTGATATTGGGGGTGTATCTCTTGAGTGTTTTAAGTTTTTTGCCCAAAATCCCCCTGTAGGGGGACACGCACGACTTAATCGTAGGCGCTCGGGGTGCTCTCCTGCTGCGCAGCTGCGCCTCGGGCGGCGGCGGGGGGGCCAGTGCCCTGAGCCTGCACGCTTGCCCTAAGGCGGGCCTGTCCCCCACGTAGGGGGATCTTCGACGAAAAATACCAGATACCCCAGAAATACTCCAAACATAGTCCAAAAATACTCTGGGGACTTCTCTTTTAGCATTTTGTTTGACCTTTTTGGGGTATGTTTTCTTTTTTCGTCGAAAACCCCCCTGCTGGGGGACAGGCCCAGCATAACGCTGGCCGCACCTGCCGCGCGGCAGGTGCCGCCGCGGCGGCACCTGCCGAGCAGCAGGTGCGGAGGCTGCAGGTCGAGGGAGCGGCGGAGAGTGCCTTCTTGCCCTCTGGGCCACGGCTGTCGCGCGCTATGCCCCCTACCCTTCCCCCCCGCCCCCTCACCCTGGGGGAACAGAAAGTGGCATAAACGTAAGAACTCGGAGGTCCGCGCGGATTTCTCGGATCCGCGCTGGACCCCCCTCCTGGCGCGCGGAGCGCGCCAGGGGCCGCGCCGGAGGCGCCGCCAGAGGGGCCCTGCGCGGATCCGAGAAATCCGCGCGGACCTCCGAGTTTCTATGTTTGTGTCATGATTCGTTCCCCTCCCCCTCCCCGCAGCGTAACGCTCCCCTCAGTAGGTCCCCGGCTCTGCGGCGGTTTGGGGGGTGGGGTGGGGGGCGCCACGTTGTGCCCACCGTCCGCCCGCCCCCCCTCCCCCCCCCAGAACCCCCTGTTGTGGCCGCGAGTGAAACCTGCGCTCGAGGCAGGGGGGCAACGTTCGGAATGTTGCCCCTGCCTCCAGGACCACGCCCGCAGGGACGTTTTTTCATGACCGAGGGGGTCGGGGAGCGATGCCCGGACCCCCTCGGATCATGGAAGAGGTCCCGACGGGAGTTGCTTCGCTCCTTGCGGCCTCCCGGAGCATCCGCAGGCCCGCCGGGAGCGCCGAGCGGCTGCTCGGGAGGAAAAAAGCCAGCCCCGGGGGCGGGGGCCCAGACCTCCAGGGGTGCAAGTCTGGGGCCGACCACGGCGCCGAGGCCGTGGCTACCGGGGGTCTGCGGCGATCCTCCTGCCTCGGCCTGCGTCCTGGCAGCTGCGCATGGTCGCCGAGGGCGCTCCCGCAGACCCCCGACGTCACGAGTTTCTCAGTACACGTCGACCCCCAGAAGTCTGGACCCTCTCCCCGGGACCGGTTCTTCGTCCTGGGTCGTTTGTTGACGGCCTCGAGGCCCGGTAAGGGCCCCCAGAGGCCAGAAGTATTGAAAAGCCTCCCGTCGTGATTTGTTCATATTTCGAGGGGGTCTGGGTCCTGGGGTGCCCGCATAACCCCGAGCGGCCGCCAGGAAGTGGAGTCATAGCCCGGAGGCCAGACGACGAGGGTCACCGGGGCGGGGATCGGCTCAGGGCGGATGCATCGACCTAGGGAGGAGGAGGAGGAGGAGGAGGAGGAGGAGGAGGAGGAGGAGGAGGAGGAGGAGGAGGAGGACCACTGATCGCTGTTAGGGGCCTGCACGTGCGCCGTCGATGCGTTGCTGGTTGGAGGTCGATGCCCTGAGCCGGTCCCCCCCGTTTCGTTGCCCTGGAGGAGAGCGGGGCTCGCAGCCCGGGCAGCTTTCAGCACGTGGAGATGGCAGGTCCGCCTCCGCTCTCCTCCCTCCTCTGGCTTCGGATCCGCCGTACGTTGGACAAGTTCGTAAGCGGGGCGGGAAGGGCCGCCTCGCGTTTCAAGTTCGTTTGACGCTGATTTCCGCCCTGCCTTGCCGTCGCTGCTTCCAGCATGTCTTCTCTCTGTCCTGCCTCTGTCGACGAAGAAATTTCCAACCTACGTGATTCGCATCGTTTGGGGCGCATGTCTGACACATGTACACGTCGGAAAATCAGCCACAGCAGGGCGGATCCGAAGTCAGGGTCCTCCCTCCTCCTCCTCCTCCTCCTCCTCCTCCTCCTCCTCCTCATTTCTTTCAGGCTACGTTAACTCCTCCTCCTCCTTCTCCTACCTCCTCCCCTCCTACCTCCTCCTCCTCCTGCATCCTCTCCTCCTCCTCCTCTCCTCCCCCTCCTCCCCTCTCCTCCGCTTGAGCTCGGAGTTGCGGCAGTGGTCCGACGTCGGAGCTGGCAGAGGCCCCCCCCCCCCCCTTCCTAGGGGCGCAGGTGGACAGAGGGCCAGGGGTGCACTTCAGCAGGGCGACCTGGCAACTCAGCAGGGCGCCAGAGTAGCACATTGGGCACTAGAATGTCCCCTCCCTCCTCGCACCTCCTCTCCTCTACCTAATTGTCCTCCTCCTCCTCCACCTCCGCCTCCACCTCCGCCTCCACCTCCTCCTCCTCCTCCTCCTGAGTTCTGGTGCGGCGGGGCCATGGAGGAGCCCCCCTCTCCTGAGGCCGCCGGCCTTTCCCGCGCCTCGGGCGCGGGGGCGGGTCGCGCCGGCATCGATCGGCGCGCTTCCTGCTTTGCTCCGCTCCACTCCACTCCTCCTCCTCGTCGTCCTCGTCCTCGTCGTCGTCCTCCTCCACCTCCTCGTCCTCGTCGTCCTCCTCCTCCTACAGTCAAGGCCGGCATTCAGGATGGGCCCTGCTACTTGCCATCGTTGACGGCAAAACACATCCTCCTCCTCCTCTTCCTCCTTCATTCCTTTTCTGCTTGTCGCACCCCGAAGCGTCGAAAGGTCGGGCCGGGCGTTTTGCTTCAGACGTTTTCACCATTTATAATCCTGGCGCTGGTTCACAGATGGAGGGCGCTCCGTTTTCAAAGTGTGGCTCTCGCCTCAGGGCCGCGCACACTCGTTCTCAAAAACTGCAGAGGTTCACGGATAGATGGCGACCCGTTTTCAAAATGTAGGTTTGTCAGGGCGCGACAGTTACGTTGATTCGCGGTGTTGAAGTCCCAAGATTTGTGTTCTGGCACGGTTCAGGATCGTTAGACGTGGCGTTGAAGTCCCAAGTATGGTGTTTCGTTTGGCACGGTTCAGAATTGTTGACGCTTCGCGAGTCCCCACGAGCCCATCCAGAAACGATGCCCAGAGGATGTGCCTCGATCAGGGAAGTGGGCAGCACACAGAGGAAGCCATTCTGAGACATCTTGGGATATCTTGAGCCATCTTGGAGGTCATCTTGGGCTCTCCCAGGCGCCCTTGGAGTCATCTTAATCAGTGTCCCCCCCCAAGAGGCCACATACAGTAGTAACATCAATGATGTGGCATGCTCGCCGAGGCCTCTTGGAACATCTTGGGTGCCTCTGGGGGGTCTCTTGGGACCTCTTGGAGGTCCCTTGGGAGCCTCTTGGAGGCATCCTTGGGGCCTCTTGGGGCTTCCTGTCCACCTCTTGGGGCCCCCTTGGGGCACCCTTGGAGCTTTGGGGGCCATCTTTGGGCCATCTTGGGTGAGATCGATTACAGGAGGGGGGTGCCGAATTAGACCCCCCCCCTCAGGATGCCAACATGGGGCCAACACCTTAGTAAAACCAATAAGTTTGGCTTCCTCGCCGAGGCCGTTTTGGACGCTTCGACACCTCGCGGAACCCCCTGCCCAGGTCCATGGGGAGGGGGTAGGGGGAGGGGTAAACCCCTCCCCGAAGGGGAAGAAGGAGGGGTGGAAGAGGAAACGCTCTAAACCACCTACGCCCAGAGGGCTGCGGGGATTTCCACACGGATATCTTCCAACGGGGCGCTTCCCTCAGTGGAGATGAATCTTCATAGGAGGTTATGATGAGGGAGCTTGGAGGGAGGGATTATTGCAACTTGCTTCAGGATGACGAGTCGCTCCGTTGTTGTTTTGCTTCCGCTGTGGAACCTGCACTTGCAAGAGATGTTTCAAGCTCGGCGGGACTTGCAATGGGACCCCAGGGCCGTGAGGCAAAGGGGCCCGAAACATAATGCGCTAATTACGGTCTGCACCCTCACTGCAGATGGCACGTGGCGGTTGCTGCGGTTTCTGGCACCCTTTGTCGCCCTTCGGCCAAGCATGTGCTGCTCGGCAGCTCAGGTTGGCCCAGCCTCCTCGCCATCCTCCCGTGTATGCCTCATTCCCCTCCTCCTCCTCCTCTTCTTCCTCCTCCTCCTCCTCCGGCATTTGGAGCGTCGGCCTCGGCGGAGAGGACACGACAGCGCGAGGCGGCCTGTTCGAGCCGCAGGATCGCCCTGAGGCCGCCAGTGGCACGCTCTGCCCTGGAACCCTCTAGGGAGAACCTCCCCCTCCTTCCTCCTCCTCCTCCTCCTCCTCCTGTTCCTCCTCCTCCTCCACAATTACTCAATATGAATACTACTCTCCCTCTTCCCCTGATGGCGTGCTGGGAATATTCGACCCCCCCCGCGTACTGTTTCTTTACGCACAGGATTCCCGGGAGTTGGGTTTTCGCCTGCATTTTTTTTCAAAATGCTGCTCTCGCTGAGGCGCCGGCCTCATTTCTGCTCCCGAATCGTTCCGAATCGTGCTCCCGCTGCAGCGTGGGCCTCATTTTCGGATCGGTGTTTTGCCTCCGTCGTTCAGGATGGCGTTCTCGCCCCAGCGCGGGCCTCTTTCTCGCGCGCCCATCCGCCCGCCACCACCGCGCCGCACCACGCCCCGCCCCGCCGCACGCACACCCGCCGCCACTTCCACCCACCAACGCACGCACGCACGCACGCGCACACCACCGCGCACCGCCACCACCACCGCACTACCCCACCCACCACCACCACGCTACACCGCGTCACACCACATCACACGCGCGCACACACAGACACACACGCACGCACGCACACACACATACACACGCACACACGCACGCACACACACACACACAGACACACACACACACCACCACCGCCACCACCACCACCACCACCACCACCACCGCCATCACGCACGTACGCACCTGGCCCACCACCAAACCACCAAGACGCCACACCACGTCACACCACAGCACACGCGCACACACACACACACATACACACCACCACCACAACAACCACAACCACGCACACACGCACGCACGCACGCGCACCACCACCCACTACGCACACGCGCGCGGAGCCACAGGTCCGCTACGACACGCGTCCGCGGATAGAGAAAATCAGCGCCATGGTAAGGGATGGGAGGGAGGGGTAGGATGTCAGATGTTGACGCGAGCGCACCTAACTTGTCCTCCTCCCCCTCCTCGAGAACTGGGGATTGTGGAGCCCCTCGGGGTTCCAGGGCGCGCGCGCGAGGCTTTCACACTGAGTTCGCGCGTGCGTCTTTCAGTGGTGTGCGTAGTCTGTGGCGTCCTCCTCTCCTTCCGCCTCCCCCTCCTCCTTCTCCTCCTCCTCGTCCTCCTCCTCCTCCTTTTTTCTCTTTCCCTTCCCCCCCCAAAAAAAAGGATACGTTTTTTTGTTTGGGGGGAAGGGGTTCGGCGGCGAAAATACAGGAATGCGACGCGGACTCATCTGTCCTCCCCGCTAGAAGGATTCCTATTGAACGCCCCCACAAGGAGGATTCATAGTGACATCCTCTACAGAAGGATTCCTATCGAAACCCTCCACTTAACGATTCCTACTGAAATCCTCCACATGGATTCCTATTGAAATCACCTCGCGCGCGCGCCCTTTCAGTGGTGTGCGTACTCTGTGGCGTCCCCCTCTCCTTCCGCCTCCCCCTCCTCCTCCTCCTCCTCCTCCTCCTATTTTTTTGTTTGTTTTTCCTCTCTCTCTCTCCCCCACCAAAAAAAACAATTGAACATTTTTTGTGGGGGGGGGGTCGACAGCGAAAAAACAGGAATGCGACGTGGCCTCATCTGCCCTCGCCCCTAGAAGGATTCCTATTCACCGCCCCTGCAAGGAGGATTCATAGTGAAATCTTCTACAGAAGGATTCCTATCGAAACCCTCCACTGGATGATTTCTATTGAAATCCTCCGCAGATGGATTCCTATGGAAATCACCAGCAGAAGGATTGATATTGAGATGTTCGAAAGAAAGAATCCCCCGTTGGCATTGCATTGGCATTGGTTTGGCAATGTTTTGGCATCGCATTGGCATTGCGGTGGCATTGCGCTTGGCAGAGCGTTGCTAGTGTGCTTGCATTTCGCAAGCATTGCGCTGGCGAGTCCTAATGGAACCCTCCACAGAAGGACTCCGATCGAAACCTTCTGCAAGAAGGACTCCTATTGAAACCCTCCACCAAAACGGTTCACATTGATAGCGAAACCCTCTACAGAAGGATTCCTATTGAAATCTACCACAAAGGCTTTCCCCCATTGGCAGTGCATTGGCATTGGGTTGGGATCGCTTTGGCATTGGTGTGGCATTGCGTTGGCACTGCGTTGGCATTGCGCTGGCATTGCGCTGGCGAGTTCCAACACCTCCCTTCGCATAATGATTCCTGTTGAACCCCCGCAATAAGGATTCCGATTGAAGCATCCCACAAGAAGGGTTCACATTGAACTCCCTCATGGAAGGATTCCATCCGAAGCCCTCCATAGAAGGATTCTTCTTGAACCCGACCACAACTGATTTCCCCCATTGGCATTGCATCGGCATTGCATTGGGATCGCTTTGGCATTGGTTTAGCATTGCGTTGGTATTGCGTCGGCATTGCGCTGGCGAGTTCTAACGACTCCCCCCCACAGAAGGGTTCCAATGAAAACCTTGCACAAGAAGGGATCCTTTTGACAGCCCCCA